AAATGTGTCCTAGAGTCAGCCTCTGACCAGCCCTCTGACCTCTGTAGGGCTCATTTCACCCTAATCATCTCGCCTTTCTATCTCTCCACCTGTGGTGGCTTCAGAATCAACACTTTAGTCACTCCAAGCAGAGGAAGACCTGAACACTGCAACTTCTAGATCATTCTTAAGACAGTAGGGTGTTCACACTCCCAAACCAGCCAAACCACCAGGTCTATGATAACTCTCTGAGAACTTTCTTCCTTGGTGCAATTTGAAGTACAAAGGGGAAACTCAGTCAGGATGATTATTCAGGAAAAAAAAAAAAAAAAAAGGTCTGGACTTGTTAAAGAAAGAACACTACCGAGAGACATAAGACCAAGCCTTTTACTGACCTCCTGATAAAATATTTCCAGCTGGCAGTTCTCCTGACCTATTTTCTCTAACTTTGAGAGCCGTGCCTCAGTTGAATCCAGTGGGACCATGTGGCTACCTGAAATCCTAACACTATCCAGGGATGCTTTTCCAGTCCTTGCTGCATCCCAAACAATTATAACTATGAAGTCATGGTTCTGATGTGGTTGGTGTCCTGGTTTTTTCTTCATGCATACTAAAATAAATATGTAGCTGTAAAAGGAAAAAGAAGTTCTTCTATCAACTGGGTCCTCGCACTTGACATTCATAGCCTTCTGATGGAGTAGGCAAGTACAACCTGTGATCCTCATTCTGAGGAAGCAGAGACTTGGCCCTAGAGAGGTAAGGGGACTTGCTTGAGGCCACACCACTAGTAATGGGAGAGCAGGAATTGAAACCTGTGCCCTCTTGCGTTTCATGGTCTGGGGTATGCACAAATGGGAACTACTGGAACTGGGTGGTGTGGATCTGTTGTTTTTTTCTCAAAACCTCTAACCTTCTTTCATTTAGGAATTCTCCCACCCAGAACCCAGGAACCCTAGGTTTTAATTGGGTTGCTAAGTTGCTGTGTGGCCTCAGGTAAGAAGGTCAGACTCTCTGACCTCTGACCTGGATCTCTCTGTCAAGTGGACATTCTAGCTGGGGTACTGCGATTCTACTGACCAGTTCACAGGCGGCCTTCCCTTAGTACACTGAGACAAACTTTGTGTGATGCGCCTGCCTCCAAAGTTTGAGGAGCTGTCAAGACCTATCCTCAGATTCAGCATGACTATCCACCCTGCCACCAGCCTTTCAGGCCCCAGAACAGATTGAGAGCAGGCTTAAGACTGCTCACACTTCCTTTTCCAGCCATGCTGGGCTCTTCTTGCAACACACTACAGCTTACAAAAAAACATCAGCTACATAGAGTCTTGTTTTCCTCTCCCTTTGGGGTTACTATCCTTATCTCTGCCCCAGAAAATCAGATATCACTGTTGCTTTTGTAGACACACACACACAAACATATGTACACACACATTTCCTTGCCACCACTGAAAAAGGATCAAAAATTAGTACAGCTCACAGATCTGGTGAGTCGAAGGTTTTTAGACATTTTTCTAAAGCAACATAACCTTTCTCCAAAAATCAAAATAGCTCTGGTTCTTATATTCATTCATCAAACATTTTTTTGAGTATGTACTACGTACCAGGCTCTAAGTTAGCCAGGGACTGGGGACACAGTGATGGGCCAAGCAGATATAGACCCTGCTTCTAAGCTGCCTTCTCAGTGAGGCCTCCCTAGCCATCCTGTTGGAAATTGCAGATCTCTCCTCCAGCACTCTTTCTCTACTACCATAATTTGTCTACATGGTCCCAGTCACCATGTAATGGATTGTGTGCTTTACTGTTTAACTTTGTTTACTGCCTTCCTCTCCAACTAAATATAAACCCCGAGACAGGTATTACTGTTTTGTCACTGTCTACTACTATATGCTCAGCACCTATACTAATCTTTAGTAGGTACTCAGGAAATATCTGTATAATGAATGAATGGACATTAAACAAACAAGTCATTTATGTAACGCCTACATACAATAATTATATGAATATTTCACTGCAAACATGGCAAGTGCTTTGGAAAATAAGTACAGAATACTGGAGGGTGCGTGGTTGGCAATCGGGAAACATTTGTCTGGCAAAGTGATGTTTAAACTGAATCCTAAAGGATAAGTGGATGTTAGTTAGAAAAGGTAGGGAGAGAAAGTCTGAGGAAGAAAGGAGTGTTCCCAGCAGAGAAACAGCATGCACAAAGGCCCTGAGGAAGAAAGGAGGCCAATATCCATAATGAACTGAAATAGACAGACAGTGACAAGTGATGCAGCAAGAAGGCAGCTTCTGAGGGACCTTGGAGGCCCCACCATTTGAATCTTATTCCAAAGACCACAGGAAACCACAGAAGGGATTTAAGCAAAGAGGTGCTCATCAGATTTATATCTCGAAAAAATCACTTTGCTGCTTGGTGGAGAGTGGCCTAGAGGGGTCAAGAGCCATTTCTGGAAGACCAATAAGGAGACCATTATAGTTTGTCAAATAGGGGATGGTGGTGACCTGGACCAGGCTGGTGGCAGCAGAGGCAGAGAGTAATACAGATGGAGGCGGGGAGGTCAGGTAGGGGTCAGAGCCCATAACTGTCCCCTCACAGGCATCTGAGGGTTCTCCACCTCTTTCCAGAAAAGGCCAAATAATAAACCTTTTGTGTTTTGCAGGTATACAGGAAATAGTCACTATAGCAGGCATGATGTTGCCCTCCAGTAGAGCCTGTTTGCAGGACTTTCTCTTGACTGGTGTCTGAGAACTTGGCTAAGATGTTCCCTATGGTACTAAGTAATTTGGTTGTATTGTCTGCCTGGGACACTGAATTCTGCTGTAGCAGCTTGCCTGGACTGTTTGTATAGCAATGTGATTTATGGTGAATACCTGCTTTTCTTCTGAGAGTCTAGAATTCTGATTGATCATGCAGGCAGAAAGTACCTGTGTACTTAGTAAAACATCGCCATTAAAAACCTGGACTCTGAGTCTTAAGCAGGCTTCTGTGGGCAGAAATACTGCCCACATGCTGCTGCATTTTGATGCTGGAAAAAGTTCTGTGCAGCCCCTCCTAGCAGAAGAACACAGGAAGCCTGCATGTGAATCCTTCCACGCTCCACCTGATGTGTGTCTTTCTCTCTGATGATAGAAATAAACCACATCCAAGAGTGTAACTGCTTCTAAGTCCTGTGAGCCCTTCTTATGCATCACTGAATATGTGTGTGTGTGGAGGGGCACTTTTCCTAGAACAGCCTTGGCAGATAAGAACTGGCTTGGGAACTGAGGCCCCAAAAGGAAAGATACGGTAGGATACTTACGGCAGACAATCTGATGAACTCCTGGCCTCACCTTTGTTCTGGGTGTGGGCGGTATGTGTTTGTATGTGCACATGGTATATGTGTAGGGCTTCAAGGTCAAAGGTATCGACTGGGTTTACTAAACTTTTCTGATCATTAGAATCCCCTTTGAAGTTTCTTAATAATAATGATACCCAGGTGCCATCTCAGATCCCCAAAACTGAATCTCCAAGGGTGGGGCCTGGAATCTGCAGTTTAACATGTTCCCAGCGTTCTGATGATCAGCCAGGTGTGGAAACTGGGTGATACTCGAGACCTTGACTGAACTCGAGGACTAGGATAAGGAAGCCTGTGAGCAAAGGAAAACAGGGAATCTGTCCTGGATTAAGGCAGAATTTGTGGATCTAACAAAAATATACAGACCGGTGAATTTGGAAATACATTTCCAAAAGCGCTTCTCCAACTGAGCCTGTGCCATCAGAGGTTGGAGTGGGTAAGACTGACAGTCAGGAACTAATTTTCTTCTTTGTAGGGATTCTGCCTGTACTTCAGGATGCTGCTGTCAGATTCCTGGTGGTACCCTGAGCCTGGCACAGCAGACTGAGACAGAAATGAGTGCACATCACCACTCTACCTGTACCTTAATGCACCATAATGAGGTATATCTGAGTTGCACTAACCAGTACTCCATAAACATTTCCATCCAAGTTCTCCTCACAGCAGGCTTGAAGGCACAGACTACAAACCTGAAATTTCTTGCAAGTCTCATGTTCTACTGAATGCAGATTGCAAATTCCACTGCATGATCTATCTATGTTTGTTTTAATAGAAAAATAGGTGCCTCTTCATCCAAATATCTTTGAGCACATTATTTCACACATTGAAATTATCTGGGGACCTCTAAAAGGTACTGTTACCTAAGACCCAGCCCCAGAGAGTTTAATTTAATTGGTCTGGGTTGTGCTTTGAAAATTGGTATTTTCAAAAGCTTCACAAAAGCTACTAACAAGTAGTAGAGGTTAGCACCCCTGGGCCATAAGATGTTCTATTTTCATCTCTCATCTAAATACACCAGGCATAACACCACATACCCACTTAGAGAAACTCAGGCATAAACATTTACTACCCACTATTCAGAACAGCCAATGCCTTACCAAAGAGAACTAACAGGCCACAGTTATCACCAATTATTTCTTTCTATGAGTTGCCACCACAAAGAAAAGCAAAGATCCAGTTTCTCTCACTGAGATGCACAGCTGTTGAGATCTGTGATCTTGGGTGGGGGAAAAGGTATGATTTTATTTTCAGTAACCTCTAATTGAAATTTAGCATTTCCTTCAATTATGACTGCAGGCAACAAATCACAGTAATGTCAGCAGTAGAAATGCCAGATATTTTCTTTTCACAGTAGAGATACCTCTTAATATCATTCACTGTCATTGCTGCTTTGAAATCGTGATAATTATTGGACCCATTGCTGGATCTTGCTATTTAATGTACTGGTAAAGTAGCACATTTATATTACATCACATATTTGTCTTTTTTAATGTTTTGGTGGCTGTAGCTCAATATATTTTATTTACTATGTATTTAATTTGTGCATTAAAAATTATACTTCTGAGAAGGGTGCTGTAAGCTTCCAATCGTTCAGTTGGCCATTGAGCCTCTGTGGCTGGCATTAGAGACCTGCAGAAGGCTTCTCAATAGTGGCAGGCAACTGTGCACTGAACAAATGACTCTTACCTGTGGGTCAGAGAGCCGGGAGAGGTCGGGGTACAGGTAGAACTTGATGCCTTCAGAGGCCCCAGGCAACGTGACCCCTCGGATCAGGAGGATCAGAAGCATGACATAGGGGAATGTTGCAGTGACGTATACAACCTGCCCAGGAGAGGAGAGACAAGAATCAAGAAGGGGTGACAGTGGTGGGTAATGTGGCAGGCCCCTATTGTCTAGCTGTGAGCAAAGGGCTTCCCAGTGCAGCCGTAAAGTGAATCCTTAACAGACTAGCTCCCGCCTCCTCTCTTGCCACCATCTCCTTAAGGGCTGGGTCTTTCAATAAGTCTCTATTGAGTGCCTACAATGATGTTTGATATCACTGATTTTCAACCATTTTTGACCACAACCTACATAAAGAAATATACATATCACAACCCTGTAAACATTGAGCTGAAATAGGAAGTTTCACAAATTCATAGTCGCTTTTACATTTGTGACACACTCAATATTTCCTATCATACTCTATTCCATTTATATGTCATGCTTTATTTCATTTTTTTTTTTTTAAAGCTGATCGTGACTCTCTAAGTTCACAGCATAATTCACCAATGGGCCCGGATCCACATTTTTGAAAAACACTGCTCTTAATGAAAATCAAGTTTTCATAGCCAAGGAAAAGACGGGACAGGAAAAGATAGAAAAGGGAAGGGTGAGCTGTGTGGGGCAGGAAAGACCCAGTGTTTGCCTGGAATCATTTCAGTGTCGTCTGCTTGGAGGCATGCAACTAGAACCAGTGAACCTGAGAGGCCCCTTCAGCCTATGGATTCAGCGTAAGAATTAAGACAATGAAAGGAAAAAAATCTTCTCTGAGCTTCCTCACAAAGAGGTGGTTAGAAGGGTAGGGCAATACCTTCACAGACTATTAGGAGTTCCTGTCCTAGAGGCCGTGCCCCCTATCTGAGGTCCTTGTAGGACACAGTGTCCCCTCTAATTCTAATTTTTTTCTCCTTTGTCGTGAACTCTTCTCAGTGGGGCCTGCCTGTTGTATCTGTTTAGATCAGCAACTTGTCAACATCTGGGGGCCACAGACACATCTGAGACTCTGATGACAGCTATGGACCCTTTCCTCCTTCCCCCAAGAGTGCACAGACACAGATATGTGTGCAAGCTTTTGGATTGTTCAGAGACTCTGATTCCCCAGATAAAGAACCTGTGCTCTAAGACTTACTATCCTAATTCCTCCAATGCTAGTGTAGTCTCTCACTCCTTTCCAACCTAGGCTTTCTTTTACCAGTGGTACAGCCCTTCACTCCATTCATTCATCTATTCATTTACTCACTCACCTGCCTACCTACTCACATACCAAAAACAGTCCTATGTACCAAGCACTGAGCTAGACTCTGGAATGTACAAATAAGAATAAGTCACAGGATGGAATTTTCTTTTTCAAGAGGCTTCTCACTGGTAGAAAGATGAACATGCAGGTAGGCAGATAATGCATTATGTAATCAGGGGAGTGCAAAGGATGTTGGAGCACAGAGAAGAGAGTAGCTAACTAGAGAGGGTGGTCAAGGAGGGCTTCTCCAAGGAGGTGACCCAGGTGTTGGCCTGTATAGGATAAGAATCAGTTCAGAATATGGGAAATGGGAATAGAAGGAAGAAGAGAACAAATAAAATTCCTATTACATGCTAGGCACTTTACATATAACAAAAGAAATGGCTACACTTATACAGCATTTCCCTAGAATTTTTTCTATTATTATTCACTTTATTTTCATATAAATTAACACCGTAGGAAAACTTAAATAGCAACGCTAAATACAGTATTGTATATAACATTCTTTGTCTTAAATGCCCTATTATTTAAGAATAGTAAAATACACATCAGAGATATCAAAAGAGACAGAAAGACTACAAAACAATCCACTACTACTTCTTTGCACTTAAACTACAAACTAAAAAGTAAGAGACTATACAAATAGAAACACTAATCATTTGGTTGCTAAGTGACAAGATGGCGATTTAAACACAGTCCTCAAAAATAGGAAATAAGAACCCACATGGGGTGGTGTTGACGGGTGCTGCCAATACAGGCTAGAAGTCTGGATTATTTCATCCACTATCCCTAACCTACAACAATGGCATCATCCTCAGCCCATTCACAGCCAATTCAGCAGTCTTGTTTCCAAATCAACCATCTGCTCAATTTACATGTCATATAATCAGTAAAACAATCTCTCACTGTCATATATAATCTAGAAAAGACGAATGCAAGTCAAATATATACTAATAAGAGACCAACAGTTGATATCAAGAATAATAAATTAGAAGCCAGCAGTCAATAGGGTTGATGGTTCCTGACCAGAGAGCTAATAGTGCTATAAAATCTGTTTCCCTTAGCTTTGTAGACACAGTCTATCATAGATCTTCAGCATTTCATGTAAATGCTTAATTGTCTTTCTTCATAATGAATCCTACCAGTCAATCAGCTTAAGTCTATGAAAAGTCAGGCTTAAAATCTATTGCTTTTTTGGGGGAGGTGACATTGGTTATTGAAATCCAGTAAGTTTCAGGTGTACAATTCAACAGTAAGGCATATATACATTGCATTGTGTGTTCACCGTGCATAGTGAAATTTCTTTAAGAGATGAAATATTGCCATTTGCGACAGCATGGATCTTGAGATAATCATGCTAAGCGAAATAAGCCAGACAGAAAAAGTTGAAAACCACATGATATCACTTATATGTGGGATATAAACCTAAAAGCAACAAACAAATAGGACAGACAAATTGACTCATGGACATGGACAAAAGACTAGTGGTTACCAGAGGAGAGGGTAGATGAGGTAAACAGGTAAAAGGGGTCAAATATGTGGTGATAAAATTTATAGCTTTTATTGAATAATTTCTACTTAGGTCTCTTCTATGGCAGAAAAATAATGATCCAGAATGCCCCGAACCTGATTAATGATATCTCTGGAGTTTAACTATCTTAACCCCTAATGCTGACAAAACTTATGGAAAAGAACTATACCATGTACAACATAAAGACAACTGAAAATCGTAGAAATTTGTCTGTCATCTGTGGAACCACTTTGATGTGACTAAACTTTTTGGTCATGCTCCACTCAGTCTGTTTTGAGGAGACCAGACCATTAGGGTGTGTCATTAAGAGGTCACTGATACCCTAGCAAAATACATCCTCACCATGCCCCTTGGCAGTATATAGAGCAGACTGTTCCTCAGTGACCACAGTGGCATAATTTATTAAATGACTACTGATTATTTTGAAGCAGTTCCATTATTTAGAGTTCTAAATGGATGCTCTGCTTCTACATTATATTTAGGACTACACTCCCTCCAGACAGCCACACTTTCATCTGTATACTACATTTATAAAACCATAAGGGAAATAAAATATGCAGATGAATTGCCCAAAGACCACAGTGCAGACAAGTTAGGCTGCTAAAATGGAACCACCGGCTGGCATGCATTAGCTAGAAAAATTGTTTTCTAAGTTGGGGTATGAGAGCCTTGAGTCAAGAAACAAAAGGGGTTTAGGGACATCATGATATAATACACACAAATGGAAAGGGGTATAAAAGTTGAAAACACAACGATGAAGACAGCCTATATCTGTCACTGGTTTAAGCTTTCCTAAACTAAAAGCCCTTTCTAACTTGTTTCTACCCTCAGCCATACCAGACACTTGGACATCATCTTTGATTTTTCCTGAGAACAGCTGTAGACTGTCCAAACAATACAAATCTTGTCATTAAGAGATTGCACATAAATCGCATGCATGCTGCCACATCCTTCCTGTGTTCATTGCAGACATCACTAACTGATCACAACACTCTTTGCAGCTAAGCCTGGATGCAGCCTCAGAACCCTCTACACAGGACTCAGGCAGCCCCCATAATCAGCTGGAAAGAAACCCACTCTTGGCTACCCTTGATCTCATCCATTTTTCATTTATGCATTCACAGTCCTTTGTCCTTGTCTTCAGAATTGTAAGACACAGGTGTTGTACTCAAGGAAAAAACTGTTGAATGTGTGATGCAAGATACTCGCATGAAACCAAAAGGGATGCTGGAGAGACAGGCTGAAGGGTCCCTGTGAAGGGATTCAGCATTCTGGCTGACAGCAGGGTTGGAGCTGGGTCCCAAGAATAAGTAGGAATAGGAGAGGCTGAGCCAGGCAGGGAAGATGTGGAATTAGCCAGAGATGTGGAGAAGGGCATAGAAGGGCACTGTCCCTTGAGATGTTTGGGAATCTCCATGTTGTCCTCCAGGTGCTCAAGCTGGAGTCAGTCTCATCTCTTTCCTCAGCTTCTTCCATATTCAATCAATGTGTCAAGTCCTATCTACTTGATCTCTGACTATATTCTGAAGTTATACTCATTCTTCATCCCCATAATCGGAGCCCTTCACCACCTTTATTCTCTATCATGTGACAGCCCAATGCTGTGTACATTGTGGTCCAGGTTTCAAATACATGTATCTAGGATGTGTCTTCCTGCTCCTCTGCGTCTTTCCCCACCAGCCCCACATCCAAGGTTGTGGGATAGTGCAAAGGGTTGGACTCTGCATCAGATGACCCCTGGGTTCTAATCCTGGCTCTGCCCAGACTTGCTGTGTGGCTTGACCAGTCTTCACCCTTTCCCACCCACTCTGCTCTCCACTGTGCCAGGTTCCTTGAGTTGGGGAGCATGCCAGGCTCCTTCAGGCCTCCCTTTGTCCATATTGTCCACCCCCAGATCTTGGGCCACACACAATGTTAGCCCTGGGTGCATCTGAATCCTCACAAAGCTGAGGACTTCTCAAAGTCAGGGACTCTGCCTTCCAGTTGTCACATCAGTGTCCTATCTACTTTACACAGCAGGCAGCAGAGGCCCAGAGTAGTCAATTAGCAGTATCTCAGTCTCACCCTTTTTACCTATAACCCATGCCATCTGCCCAAATGTTGTTAAGAGACTGAAGCGTCGCATTCTCTTTGACCCTTATCGCACATTCATCCCCGAGTCATTTCAGCATCCTCACAGCACTATAGCTATTTTCCACTAGCTGTTTTATTGCCTTGTAAGTTCAAGATTTCTAACTTGTAAGTTCGACAAGGAAAGAGCGTTTTGTCTTTCACTTTGTCTGCTGCATCTGGGAC